GATGGTGAAACTTTGGTCCATTGCTCTGTCTGCTCTGTTTCATCAGCTTGGAGATTCTCTTATACTCTCGTCTCACTGACTGTCTACTCTGTTTCCGGCATATTCTGAACTGGTTCGACTGTAGTGCCAGCGCTCTGCTGCTGCTTTTTTAGAATGATCGGGGATTTCTTTCGAGTCACTTTCGTGGAACAGCCCTCAGTCGAGCCCTGCCGCTTGTTGATCCCGCAGACGGTGTTTAGGTGACCCCATTTACCACACATGTTGCACTTTGGGGGTAGCCACGGATAGTTGAACTCCACCAAAGACTCCAACTCCATTCTTTGAAACGTTAACTTTCTCCGGCAAATCCTTGATAAGGTCTGCGTTCACAAAAACCTTTGCAATGTCAAAGTCTGAACATGTCGCTGTTTCCGGGTGCAGTCGAACTGGAACTCCTACTGCACTCGTTATGAAACTCAAGCCTTTCCATGAGTACATGCTCATGGGCACGTTTTTGAGATGAACCCATAAGGGTATCGTGTCAGGAGCTTCATCTTCTGTGAATGGAGACCACTTGGTAACCACCATCAGAACTGCTTCTATATTCCACATATCTCTCCGGAGTATCCTTTCACATATTGATGAGTTTTGTACTCGAAACTTCATTGTTGTGCAGTTCACCATGATGACTTCGATCTTTTGGGATGATTCTCCCTGTGTCCAAATTTTGTTAACTATGACATGAACTTTAGCGACGTGAGGCGCCGCCAAAAGAAACCGACCGACCACAAAATCTTCCCACAGAGGTGAAGCATTCTCGAAAACCTCATCTGGTACTTCTACCGAGTTCAAACCCTCTGATCTAGTAATCTCGAAATCATACTTTTTCAAACTTTGCTTGTTTTGCACCACAGATGCGAAAGTTGTGTTTGGAATTACAGCTGGCTGAGAGACGGGAGGATCGCCAGAGTCCTCCGATGATGCCAATGCGGCCATAGCGGTGCCCGGCGAGCTGACTTGGTCTGGACGGAATGTGAAAACCCTAATCACATGATGAAAGCTGTTCTGTATAGTTTGATATCTTCCAACCAATATGTATTTTATTCAGGGGAAGACTGCTGAACGTTCTACTTACCAATGAACTAATGGTTACAACTAGAAAAGGAATTTCAAAACGTGCCATACTGAAAAATAGATCCTTTGGGCACTGAACTTTCCCAATATGTTCACTGATTTGGTGCACCAATGTCTATCAATAACGAGCTTTTCAGTTGCTGTAAACGACGAATTGTGTGGTTGTTTTAGAGGGACAAAAGGGTTAAGGCATAGTGACTCTATATCTCCCTATTTCTTTCTTTGTCATGTGGCTGCTAATGGAAGTTTTCACCCAAACACCACTCAGTCGGTTGTATCTCATCTAGCATTCGCATATGACATTATGGTTTCCTGTTTTGATTATCAAAACAAACTAGATTTGTATCCGCGTATACGTGCAGGTTTTGTTTCACATAATATTTTTAAAAATATGTTTGTGTTGATATATATATATATATATATATAGTTAATTATAAGAATATGGTAATTTGTTTGATTGTTTAGTATTAGGTTTTTGAAAAATATTTTTTTTGTAAAATAAACAATTTTTTTAAGGATTGGAAGTATGGTAATTAGGAAAATTATTCTACTATTCTAGAAATCATAAATATGATATGAGTAAAAAAGACATAGATAAAAGTCATATTTTTCTGTTTAAATTGCTTAAAAACATATAATTACTTCTGATTTTTAATGTTCTCAAATTTATGACGTGTACAATTGCCTTGATTCTGCAAGAACCACCCCATAATTTATTTTTCACATTAAAATGCAGCTATAATAATATTATATTTGACCCATAAAAACCGTCAAATCTTTGAATGAAGATAACACTACATTTTTATATTTTTTCATATAACAAGCTTCGAAAAAAGTGTTTATGATGAGGATAAGCTGGAAGAAAAATATCGAGTTAGTATAGAAAAATGTTAAAAAATTTTAGATGAGTACCAAAAAGTTAGAAATGTAAAAAGTTAGAAATGTTGTTTATTTATTTTGTTAGGAATGTGAAAAGCCTTAATATTAATGTAACTTAATAGCTATAAATATAAATACATATGAAATAAACATTAAATAGAATAGTTAAATTAGAAGTAGTGGTATTAATTAGTTTTAAATTTTTTATTTAAAATTTATGATTTATTAATTAAATGAAAGGACAGGTGTCCTCCATTTAGATGCTGATGTGGCAGCAAGATGGAGAGAGTTCACCTAAAATCATATATATGATTCTAATGGTTTTAATTTTTTACTCGAAAAAGTAGTTTTAGGTTGTGAATATTATTTTACTGAAAAGAACGATTACAGCCCACCCAGTCCACCATTGTCCCAAATATGTTTTATGGGTTTTAGCCCAATACATCAAAGAAAGTAACTGAGTCGATACAGCTAACAGAGAATTCCTGCAGATAATAGAATAGAATCGAATCTATATACTTATTTGTGTAGTGATTTGCTTACGTGTCGTGTTCACAGCGAGTTTCACCGTTTTTCGCTTACGTGTCAGCTCCAAAATGAGTTTTAGCTGCAAAAAGATCGTTTAGCCCTATTTTCCAATTACATATCATTTTTTAATTGGTTCTCATCTGATGACGTGTCAAAAAAAAACTTAAAACAAACCGGTCTAAATTATTATGGTTAAATGCTTAATTCCGTACTCAATCAAACCGTTTTTAAAATAAGGTTAAACTAAAATTTAGGCAAAAAAAAAATAAAAACGTTTTTATTTAAAAAAAAAAAACGAAATTTATCATTTCTAATGTCTTCAGAAATGTTTTTCTAAAAAAAAAAAATTACAATTTCTAATATTTTTGAAATAATCAAAAAATCTAACTAAAAATATTAACTAAAATTTAATATAAATATAAGCCACTTTTCACTACTTCTCTCACAACTTTTACAATTGTTAAACATCTTCCTTCTTTTTCATTCAAACCGTTTTTAAATTTATATTAAACCAACATTTAGAAAAATTAGACAAAAACATGTTTTTTTAAAACACAAAAAACTAAAAATTTACAATTTTTTATGTTTCTGAAATTTAGAAAAAAAAAATCTAAATAAAATATTAAAAGAAACAAAAATTGAAATAAAATTTAGAATGTTGTTTCAAAAAAAATATTTATGCTAGAATATCGCTAATTATTATAGTGTTTACAATTTTTTATGTTTATAGGGTTTTCGATTTTTATAATTTTTATAAAACTAAATTTAATAAAAATCTAAGAAAAAAGTAAAAAAAAAATAGAAAACAATAAATAAAATCTATATGTCCAGTGAAATGTCGTTAATTATGATCATTTATAGAGTAGAATTTTTGATTACTTATCTATATATTTTAGAAACATTTTTAACTCTTTTATTAAAATCAAAAGCTTATTTGTAAATTTCGAATTTGTCTAACTTAGAACAAAGATAAAAAAATTAATGTTCTTAAAATCATTTATTTATAAAATTATACTTAGTAGACATATATAACCCATGCCAAGCGTGGACAAGTTATCTAGTTAAACAGTAAATTCCAAATAGGCTAAAGTCGTCGAGAGAGTCTGAAGATATACAGTACTTACAAGGGATAGGGTTTTGCTTTTGTCTCTCTCACCGCTTCAGGCAAGCCTGTGCCTATGAACAAAGAACAGTACTTACAAGGGATAGGGTTTTGCTTTTGTCTCTCTCACCGCTTCAGGCAAGCATGTGCCTATGAACAAAGAAGAGAAACATTGGCTTATGGGCCCACTGTTTAAAAGAAAATTAAAAAGTTCAATTTATACTAATTGTTAACATTAAAATTGAGATTTAGTTTGAAAGCAAAGACGTTTTTCTTTGATAGAATTAGCAACTAAATTAGTAACATAATATAATATTAGAGCAACATATATAGTCACCTACACAATTAGAAAAATTTAACTTTTTATATAACATTACCATTTCAACTCCCTATTTTTTTGTTAAAGTTTTAGAAATTTCTTACTCTCTTTTTCTTCTTTAACAACTACATAATCAAAAGTTATTTGTCAATTGTTAAGTTTTTTTTAATTATAATTTTGTTTCATCTAATATCAGATTTATAGTTTGATTTGTAATTTGTTATTCTGATTTTTATTTATTTTGTTTAGGATGATGATTGTTATTATTAGTTTATATGAATTTGAAACGAAAATATTATTATTTTGTTTTATATAAATTAGATTGGTTTTATATGAATATGAGATGAAGATGGTTAATTGGAACTTTTAATACAAAATGGGTTAATTAGGATTCTTTTTTAATTCCGCTTACGGACTTTATATCTCTGGCACGGCTCTGGCTTCAGGTTTGTCGACTTTCTCTTAAATCGTTTTCTTTTTCTCGTGTTCCCTTTATTGTCTTCTCTATTTGGTTGAAATTTTCCTATTAAATCTTTCCGCTGCCTTTTTGGTGTTAAGAAAACATATAGAGAATAGGTCAATTTATCTTAAAGTAAAAAAAAGAAGAAAAAAAAAATAGGTCAAGTGATACTCCAAGTTACGAGAATAGTGCTTTAAAACACTACGAGAATAGTGGTTTAAGTTGTTGTTACCATTACGAGAATAGTGGTTTAAGTCTTCGATAATTAAGCTCTCCTCTTTAGTTTTTTCATCGATAATAAAGCTTTCCTCATATGTTTCTTTTTCTCTTTGGAAGCTGATGCTTAATTGCTTTATGGCTGCTTAGGCTAGTCATGTATTTATCTTCCATGGCTGGCAGATTTTTTTGTTTGTCGTATTTGTGAGTTTTCAATATATAATATATTTTTTCCGCTAAAGACTTTTTCAATGTACAATAGTGGTGTTATACTTATGTGAAACATTGCCCGTTTCTTGCAATTGATGGGAGTTTACAATTTAACTGACATGTTTCTGAGAAAGTTGTCTTTTGCTCCAAGTGACAAAGCCTAAGAAAAGAATATGGAGGATCAAAAGCAGATGAGTTTCACGTTTGAGATAGATAACTTCTCCGAGAAGGAAGGTCTGATACTATCTCCACAATTCTCAAGCGGCGGCTGCAAATGGTAAAGAAGAATATTATTTTGTAACTAATCGTCTACTTTCAGAAAAATAACTTGTCTCTGTTATTTAATAATTTTTTTATTCCAGGATTGTTCAGGTTTATCCCAAAGGAGATCGTGTTGAAGATCACTTGTCTCTGTTCCTCACCGTTGCGAATCCTGAATCATTGCGACTTGGGTGGAAAAGGAGCGCTAGTTTTTCATTCGTTCTGTTGAATCAATCAGGCAAAGAGATAGACACAACATGTGGTATATAATTTGTCTTTCTTGTATATATATGACTGATGAAGAAAAAACTTAAATGAACCTTTCTGTATTTGTCACAGAATGGCCATGCAGCTTGTTCTGCGCTCAGGTCTCAGGATGGGGTTTTGCAAAGGCGGTGCCTCTTAAAAAGCTTCAAGAAAAAGGGTTTTTGGAGAAGAACAAACTGATCGTTAAAGTCCAAGTAAAAGTAGCTGAAGTTGTTGATGAAGCACAAGTAACCGGGAAGGAGATGTTAGATGTCAGAGGTTTCCAAGTTCTTTATTCCCAGGTATAACGAACTACTATGATGATACTTCTTGTGTTTGTTTTATTTTATTAATTACTAGGTGAAGACCCGTGTGTACACACGGGCTTGTATACTTTACAAATTTATAATTTGTGTTGTATAATATGATAGATTTTTTTATTTAAACTTTAGGAATATTTTACTTGTATGAAAAACATCTTAAAAAATACAACCTAATTCGATATAGAAGCGGTCATTTGATAAAATGTATGAATTGAGATATGTTGAAATTATTTGTTCGTATTTATTTTTATTATAATGTCACTTTTTTAAATTTTCTGTAGTTTTACTCTAAATTTCCAGTTAGTTTCGGTTGTAATCAACCACATATTAAAAACTAAAAAGAAAATAATTAGTATTTTCTAGCTTAAGTTATATGATCACTTAATTGGAAGTTTTATATTATGCACATGAAATTTAGATTATCAGCTTAAATTGCAGGCAACTTTCTGACTTTTTTTATATGTTAACAGTTAGCACACAAAAAAAAAACACTTACATCCATGCACGCTACACATCGCCATATCACATTTAAGAAAGTACAAATACTTTTCTATAACTTCTAAAATTACGTAAGGATCTAGTCTTACCAATCGTTCTTTCATAAACTTTGCACCCCAAGAATCGAGCGTAGAAAAATTATTGCCTTATGGGAACTACATTCTATTTCTGTCTAAATATGAAATTGTTTAATAACACACTGCCTAAATTATGTTATAACAAAATACTTAGATAATAAATACAAAATGTGATCATATTGTGATCCTAACTCCTAAGTCTTGTCTCCCATGAGAGCGGCTGAACAACCTCCAACTAACACTCATGAGGAATAGAAGATGATAAAACAATTACAAATTATGCAGTCTGGGAAATCATCCGATCATAACAAATTTATCGATCATTTATGGTCATCACAGTTTTAAAAAATTACTCTTTTGTTATTCTTTCCCGAGAAAACTTTTTGTCCCCTCACTCTTCTCTGCTTTCTCTATAACCTCCTCTTTGTTGTCTTTATTACGTCTCCCCCATAACATTTGTAAGTTGTAACCCAAGCAATAAAAAAAGAATGAGGTTAAACCATACCATTAATTCATCATAATGGCAACAAACATGCATAGTGATATCAACATTCGCCTTTACCATTTTTTATATTTTCTCATTTTAGAGAGAACACAATTCGTTAAAAATGCTTCAGGTTATTTAGATACGCAAAGCCACTTTCTACCAATAATATCAAGCCAATTAATCCTTCATAAACTCCTAACTGAATTTTCGAGCGACCTTCCTTCTCCAATATCTTTTTTTTTCTCAAATCTTCTCCAATATCTGAAGATAGCAATCACCACCTCTTGAAGTCATAGCCATGACCACAATTACTTCCTTCACTTACAAACTCGTATAATCCTAGTGAAATTTCAAAACTCGGTTTTAAGCTTTGCCATTAAAATCCAATTGAAATCCTGACTGATGAATCAAAGAGGAATTTGGCAGTAGTAAACATGAGTTCCAAAACTCATAAATGTCTTAATTATTATTTAAAATTTAAAATATCAGATTTTTTTTTGTTAGAGCTGATGTGTCACATAAAGAAATGCTGATGTGTCAAGATTGTGAGACACAACCTAACTTTTATATAATAGATAAGAAGATTCATGTTGATAGGCCGTTCCAGTTAGTTGGATTTTCGAGGAACACCCTGACATTGCAGTGAATTTCAAACCAAAAAGCCAATTGATGAAGGCAACATACATGAATATACTCCTTGGTCTTATCGATACACTGAACAAGCCTCCACATAGCTTATCCGAGACTGAGCTAAGCAATGGTCAGAACGAGTTGATCGATCTAACTGAAGTAGGCTTCAAGCTAGACTGGTTGAAAACAAAGCTTGATGACGTTTCCTTGGAGAGGAAGAAAACAAATGCTGATGGTTCTCGAGTCAAAGAGCTCGAGGAACAAGTCAAGAATCTCAACCTTGAACTGGACACAGAGAAGGCCAAGTCTGCTACTTCTGCTGCTAAAGTTATGTCATTAGAGCAGACGGTGTCTGATCTCAGAGCTGAGCTGAGCAAGGAGAAGGCCAAATTTAAAGACGTGTTCGAGGGTGTTCTTCACTCTTGGGAAGTATTGAATTACTCAGATCTCAGTATTCAAAAAACAGAGTAAAAGACATCTGTTACTATGTTATTTTTTTTTTTAATAAAACAAGAAGTTTTATGATTTATGGTTGTTTCAATCAGAGTTGAAGCAATCAGTTTCTGAGGGCCTTAAATAATGATATGGTCCAGAGGTGATTGTTGTATCGTGATAGCACTAAGGATATGATTGTAAAATCTCAGAACAGGGATCGAAGATATTCGTTTAAATAAAGTGATAGATCGGTAACGGAGATAACAACGGTTCGATAACTGAATGATAATAGGTCGGTATGCTTCTAATGATGGATCGGCGGACTGATCAGTGATTTGGTTTAGGAAAGATCAGTAGATCGATGAGGATAGTTCAATTTTCAGGTTGAGATAGATCGATGACCAGTTTACAAATACGTATAACGATAGATCGCTATTGTATTGATTTCTCTCTCTCCAAAAGTTACGGGATCCCCTTTTTTTTACATTGTGAAGCACTATTTATAGTAAATACGAGAAATGTAAAATGGGTAAAACGGTGGTAAGCGCGGGCAGCTTATGTACGGTCGGTCAAGCAGGTCAGACCGACCGCTTACTTTGTCGTCGCGCTGGCCTGACCGTCTGAGCAGGGCTAAACTCGGTTGGGCTTTGTCTTCTGTTTGAGCCTACGTAATGTGATGGACCGAGCCTTATTTGAAATGGGTCTGTGGGAGGGTTGTGCTCAACCCACCACCAACAATAAACCCCCCCAGTTCGGCGGTCGAGATCGTTTGTTGAGATCGGCGAGAAATGTCATGTGTGGCTCGGCGCAAGTTTGGATCGGTTCTTGAGATTAATGTAGTCTCAAACCGGATCTCCTTTCGGTTTACTAGGGTTAAGTTTTAGAGGGCAGGCGAAGGGTCGCCTCGATAAGCGCGGGAAAATCATCATTACTCCTCGAGAACCGTTTTCTCACTCCTATATATTCTCGTCCAAGTTCTTTGTTCCTCATTCTCATTTCTTCGGTTTTTAGCAAGGTACTTTCTCTCTCCTTGCTCTTTCACTTTTTAGGTCAATTTTATTTTGCTGTCTTGTCATCACTGTTCCGGTGAAAATCCGCCACTTTCTCTTCTGATTTACGGCTTGATTTTTCTGATCTGACTAGGATTTCTTGAATTTCTAGGTTGATCTTCTTCGTGTTCTTCATAAGTTCTTCATAGTTCTTCGTAATTTTTTGTAGTTCATCATAGTTCTTCGGATTAGATCGATAGTTAGAATGTCTCAAGAGTTGGAATCGGATTCCCCTAGATCTGTTAGCGTTGAGGTCGGTGAGGAGAGCGATGTTTCCTCTGGTAGCACCTCAAGTTCTAGTAGCTCGGCCCCAGACGATGATACGATCATTGCTGCTCGTTTTTGGAGGGGCGACGATGCTGGGCCTAGCTCGGACCCTGCTTCTTTTGATACCCCGCACTTGGTCGATGAGTCGATCGAAGACGCCGAGCTTAATGCTCAGGTGAAATTGGAGATGGAGATTCTTGCCGAGGCCGATCGTGAGGCCGCTAAACATCTTCAAGAAGAAATAGATGTTGAGGCTGGGATCGGTAAAAAGAAGAAGAAGAAGAAGAAGTCGGTTCCCAAGGTTAGCCAACTTGAGGATATTCCTTCGAGTAGCTCAGAGGAAACGTTGGATAAAATGCGTAGGTCGTGTAGGTTGCCGGAGGGGTTGGTACTAGAAGTTCCCGCGCAACACGATCGGCCATGGAATGCGCCACAAGGGTGGATTTGCTTGTATGAGGCGTATTTCACTCAGTGTCGGTTGTGGGCTCTTCTTCCCAGGCTTCTGATAGAGTACTGTGATGCTCATGGGATCGCCATTTCTCAGCTGACCCCCGCTTGAATCCGCAACATGGTGACGGCTCTCGTTTTGGGAGCCGAGGTGGGAGTTGATGTCGATCTACGATTCTTCGAGGAGATGATGAAGATCAGTAGAAATACAAGTGCTCCTGGAACATTCTACGTCGGCGCAAAGAGGGGCAATTCGTTGATCGTTCCCGTTAGTAAGACGAATGACTGGGAGCAACGTTATTTCTATGAAGGTTCAGCGGGATGTGCCAAAGGCACCAGAGAGAGCGGATCCCACAAAATCCTCTGGATCAGTTGGGGGAAAGAAGAAGAAAAAGGACGAGGTCGGTCCTCTGCCAAAAGCCCTCTGGCGACCAAAGCTGCCAGAGGCAAAAAGAAGAGGTCGGCCGAGGAGGTGAACTTGCCAACGGCTTCCGAAGCTTCCAAGAAAGCTTCGTGACTCGGACGATCAAGTGGACAACGAGATCTTCAAAGATTTGGCCCCCAATACCATGATGGTATAGATCGCTTTATTCATTTCCGTCTTTCTATCTATGGTTGGTGGTATTACTGTTTTTCTTTTTTAGTTCATCGGTTTCTGCAATCGTCTGCGGGGTAGACTTCATCAGAAGTTGAGGTTGGCTACTCGATCCGTCGATGAGGTCAGCAAAGAGCGTGATGACGCTCTGAAGAAACTGGCCAAAGAGAAGAAAAAGACGGAGAGGCTTGAGAAGAGCGTCATCGATATGACCGAGAGGTTGAGGGTCATCGAGACGGAGATGGCCGAGGTCGTTGCTGAGAAGGCCGTCTTGGAAGGTAAGGTCGAGGGAGAGGCGCGAAGGCTCGAGAGCTCGGTTGCTGAGGCTACTTGGCTCGAGAGGAAAAGGACGTGAGAGGAGCTGAACGCTCTGTACGCCGCGAGGTTCAAGCGGTTCCAGCGACATCTGGAGGATCAGCAAGCTGTCGAAGATTTTCGGCTGGAATACAATCAAGCCAAGGGGACGGTCGATTGTCTCGCCGTTCTAGACGCCGAGGAGGATGAATCGGTTAAAGCTGGCATGATAGCCGAATTGAAGTCGTCGGTGGAAAGGTATGAGCGGCAGCTCGATTCCATGACCATTACCGATCTCGAGGATGGCGATTTGCGTGTGGTGCCGCTTCCTATAAACTCTCAGGTCGGTGATGAGACGCAGGCTCCTTTCGATGCTCAAGTCGGAGAAGAGATGCAGGCTGATAATAGCGATGAGACTCGCGAGAGCTCACGGGAGTGTCCATCGACGCCAGGTGCTGGTCTGGATCTGGGTCTGAGCTCGGATGAACAGGGTCGCGAGAATGTTTCTTCTCCGCCGATCGTTGAGTAGCCTACCTCAGTCGTTGTTGTTTTTTTCACTCGTCTTTCTCTTGTTTTGTTACCTATACTTTTAATCGTTGTCCAGACTTTATGTAATGACGCTTTGCTTTTGATAACCTGGAATTTTTATCTTTGGTCGGAGATTTTCATTATTTATATTTCGTTCAAGGCTTTGATTGGTTTAACATTGAGTGCAAGACTTGAGTTCGGCTTATCTCGTTAATTTGCGAGACTGGGCTCGGCTTAATAAATCTATTAGGTGCGAGATAGGCTCGGCGGACCTGTTAGTTTCCTAGATCGGTTATGAATAAGCGAGGATGTGCTCGGCGCCTTTACTCAGCCGGTCTAAGATTAATATGCGGGACTGGCCCCGGCTTGCATTCTCTGTTTGGCAAGGGTTTTTCCCTTGCCTTGTAGAGATGCGTCAATGATTAATAGATCGTACATCTAGCTAGGATGTCGATTGCATAAAGCTGAATGGAAGAAAGAGTTTGATAAATAAAATTTTATTTATAGCTGCACCTCGGTAAAGGTTGCCTACGTACCCTCTAAGTGGGGATCAAGCTTGATCGTAGTTCACATGTTATATATAACAAGGATAAGTATAGCTTGGTGAGCGTCCTTTTTTTTTTTAAGTAAACCGTAGGTCGGCTAATAGTAATAACGCTTTATTTTCATCGAGTTCCATGATCGGGGCAGTGGATCTCCAGTCATTGTTGCCAGCTCGTACACTCCCGCTTTGACCACTTTCGTGACTGGATATGGACCTTCCCAGTTTGTACCGAGCTTCCTGGCGTTTGGCTCTTCCGTCCCGTCGAATACCTTTCGAAGTACTAGGTCGCCTTCTTCAAGGAATCTTCCTTTAACCTTTCGGTTATAGTATCAAGCAGCCTGTTGTTGGTAATTTTGAATTCGGAGGAGAGCTTGGTCTCGATCCTCTTCTAACAGGTCGAGATTGTCCTCGATCTTCTTATTGTTGAGCTCGGGTCTGCAAGTCATCATAGTTCGGCGTACGCTTGGTATGCCTACCTCGGCGGGTGCGAGGGCTTCTACTCCATGTGATAGAGAGAACGGAGTTCTTTGGGTGGATCTGCGCGGGGTCGTTCGGTGTGACCATATGACTCCATCCAGCTCGTCGGTCCAGAGTCCTTTTTTTGCCTCTAGTCGTTTTTTCAATCCGTTGAGAATTGTTTTATTGGTTGCCTTGGCTTGGCCGTTACCTTGCGGGTATCGTGGTGTAGATTTGCTTAGGCGGATTTTCCATTTTGCACAGAATCCTTCGAAGATATTGGATACGAATTGCGAGCTATTGTCGGTAACGATCTCATATGGTAGGCCGTGTCGGCAGATAATGTTTTTCCAAACAAATTTCTGTAAGTCGGTCGCGTGTATCTTGGCGTAGGTTTCCGCCTCTACCCACTTGGTGAAATAATCAGTGACGATCAGCATGAATCGTTTTTGTCTTGAGCGTGCCAGAGGGCCGACGATATCCATCGCCCACCTCATGAATGGGTAAGGTGCTGCGGTTGTTGATAGTAAATCGGTTGGTACATGAATCATCGGCGCATGTCGCTGGCATTGTTCGCATTTCTTCACAAATTTGTCACAATCGGCTAGCATGGTCGGCCAAAATGACCTTGGTTCTTCACTTTGAAAGCTAGGGCACGACCTCATATATGATTTCCGCTTGCTCCGCCGTATGTTTCTCTCATGACATCGGTGGTTTCATCACCGTGTAGACAGTTGAGCAGTGCGCCTGAAGAGCTCCATTGGTATAGGTTTCCATGCGATTGAATGTACTTCGCGCTTCTGGCTTTCAAATGCCTCGCTGCCCATTGATCAGGGGGGATATCACCGTCGTTGAT